CAAAACGTGAACAAATGGAAAAATACATTCATGTTTTGGGGCAGAATCACCAACATCTTAAAGATGTCAACATGACCTAATTTAATTTAGAAATTTAACTTGATGCCATAAAAATAGCAATAGGTTTTCTAACTAGATATTATCATTGATCCTAAAATTTATATGGGGAAAGAAAACAAATTTATTAAAAAGAGGAGTAATGAGAAAAGGATGGGGACAGACAGGACTGGCATTACCGGACAGTCAAACCTCCAAACCTCAAGACACCAGCAAATAGAGACAAATAAGTCTTAAAGTCCAGAGATCAACTCAAATACATCTGTGAATTTTACATAGTTAGCATCTCATATCAGCAAGGAAAAACTCAAATGATAGTGGAACAAATGAACAGTAGTCATCCTGAAAAGATAAAGTTGGATTCATATCTCATACTTTATCCAGAACTCTAAATAGATCAATTATATACATGTAAAATAAAATCACAAATGTTCCAGAAGAAAAAAATTTTTTAAAACCTTGCAGAAGGAATATCTTTCTAATTATGATTCCAAAATCCAGAAATCATAAGGGAAAAAAATTGATAAATTCAACCAAATAAAAATATAATATTGTCTGTGTGGTAAAAGCAAAGAACCAATCATAATTAAAATTTATGTGACAAACTGAATAAAATATATTTGCAATTTGTATCACAGACAAAGGACAAATTCCCTAGCATATAAAGGGCCCTGGCCAGGCACAAAGGCTCACGTCTGTACTCCTAGCACTTTCGGAGACCAAGACAGGAGGATCGATGGAGCCCAGCACTTCAAGACCAGCCTGGGAAACACAGGGAGATCCTATCTCTATCAGAGTTTTAAAAATCAGCCAGGCATGGTGGCGTGCTTTTAGTCCCAGCTCTTCAGGAAGCTGAGGTGGGAAGATCACTTGAGCCCAGAAGGTCAAGACTGCAGTTAGCCTTGCACTATTGCACTCCAGCCTGGGTGACAAAGCAAGACCTGGTCTCTAAACAAACAAACAAACAAACAAATAGGTCCTCTAAATTAGTAAGGAAAAGAACAACCCAGTTTTTTCAATGTCTGAAAGAAACAAACAATTCACCTAAAAAGAAATATAAATGGTTTTTAAAACATATGTAAAAATGCCTACTACATTCACAAAAAGAGAAATGCAAATTAAAACCATACTGAAATATTATTTTTTTAAGCTATCAGTTGGCAAAGACATAAGCATTGATGACACACCATGATGGTAAAGATGTGGGGAAACAGGTAAAACTATACATTTCTGGTTGCCAATAAGCTGATAAAAAAAAACTTTACAGTAGCAATTTGGCAGTATCCTCTGACCCATCAATTCAACTTCTTGAAATTTATCCTGCAGATACACATATACATGTGGTAAGTGGCAGGTGCATATACACCTAATGTCAGCAGTTAAAGATTAAGTAAATAAAATTATGAAACACAATGAGATATAAAAATAAGAAAGTATGTTTAAGTTAAGGGAAAAGAACAAGGTGCAAAAGTGTTTGAAATACGCTACCATCTAAACAAAAAAAGGGGGAGAATACATATACACTGTCTTTTACATATGTACAACAACATTGGACAGATATACTAGGAAGAGAAAACTGGTGACTGAGGGATAGAGATTAGAGGAAGACTTCACTGTATAGTTTTTGCACATTTTAAACTTTACTATATAAATGTATTATCTATCCAAAAACAAATAAATATTAAATTAAATAAAAAGTAAATCTGATCATGCCACGTGCTTTCAAAAGCTTCCCACTAGCCAGGCATGGTGGTGCGTGCCTGGAGTATCAGCTAATTGGGAGGCAGAGGCAGGAAGATCACTAAAGTCCAGGAGTTTAAGGTTGCAGCCAGCTATGACTGTGTCACTGCACTCCAGCCTGAGTGAAAGAGTAAGACCTTGTCTCAAAAACAAAAAAAAAACTTCCCACTACCCTTTAAATTACATCTAAATGTCGTATGATGGGCTTATAAAAATCTTACATGATCTGCTTCTTCTTACCTCCCCACTTTCATCTCTAGCCACTCTCTTATTTGCATTCCAGAGTCCGATCATCCTGAACCTTTTCCAGTTCTTTCAATAAGCCTTTTTCCATCTTGCTTCTGAACTTAGGAAATGCTATTATTTCTAAGCCTCAAACACTCTTCATCACCCTCTTCATACGCTTAATGCTTACTGTAAGGACTAGCTTAAATAAAATTGCTGCCTGCATAGAACTGTCCTTGATACTCCATCCTCAAGTCTGAGTTGAAGATCTGTCCTGTATGCCACCATAGTCTCCTAGAATTCTTCTATGATAGTGCTTTTTACACTACCTAGTAGTTTAGTTCAATTGTGTTTCTCAAGAAAATCACAAAATCATAAAGATTTTATCTATCTCAACTTCTAATGAAGTCCTGGAGCTGACATGGTGTCTGGGATACAGTTGGTATTCAATGAATATGTGTCAGTAAATTCAATTAATTTAATTAATGAAGAAATGTATAGATGAATAGATAGGAAGGAAGTGGGGGCACACAGATAAGACAGATTCAGGGAAGAAAATAAGGCAAGTTGTACTCCAGTTTTCTTCTTAATATATGTTCCTTAAAGTCACCTATAAATTTTAGTTATTAATAGTCTTTATACCAACCCTTTTAATAAATTCCTGAATACTAAATCATAGCAAGTAAGATTTTAATTTTTGATATTGTTAATTGATAATAAAATGGCCATATATCACCTTCATTCAAATTTGCTACAGAAGCTAAAAGGGCTCTAAATCTGATTCAGCAAATATTCTGTCCCACTACTTTTTAAGAGTTTGATTCCATTCTGAAGCACGTTTCATAATTTGCATTTATGATTAATACAAGTATTTAGCAATTAGAATATACATGAATTCAAAAAATTCTATTCTCTAATTTTATGTAAACTTTAAAGTGAAAGTAAATCTTATTAATTTTTTATACATATAAATACCCTGGATTTTCCTGATATTTCTGCAGTTAACCTTGCAAGTAGCATTTCCAGAAAATAGGTGTATTTCCAAAATTAACAGAGTAAACCGCTCACATTGAGGGATTTAACATTTGTGTATTCAGCTATCTTCAGAACATTTGAAAACCAATGTCTTTACGAAAACCACAATAAGATACCACTTTATACCCATCATAACGGCTATGATTTTAAAAAAGGGGGGGCGGGGGGCTGCATACAGTGGCTCTTGCCTGTATTCCCAGTACTTTGGGAGGCTAAGGCAGGAGGACTGCCTGAGCCCAGGAGTTCAAGACCAGCCTGGGCAACATAGTAAGACCTTATCTCCACAAAAAAATAAAAAATTAGCTGAGTGTGGTGGCACACGCCTGTAGTCCCATCTACTCAGGAGGCTGAGGCAAGACAATCACTTGAGCCCAAGAGTTTAAAGCTGCAGTGAGCCGTGATTGCACCACTGCACTTCAGCCTGGGCAACACAGTGAGACTCTGTCTCAAAAGAAAAAACGAAAGTTAAACATAAAAGCTAATCCAACAATTCCACTTTGGGGTATATACCTAAAAAAAGCAGGGACTCAGACATTTGTACACCAACGTTCACAAAACCATTATTCATAATAGCCAAAATGTGGAAACAACCCAAATGACCATGAACAAATAAATGATAAACAAAATGTAGTATAAACAAACAATGAAATATTACTCACTCTTAAAAGGAAATTCTGATAAATGCTACAACATGGATGAACCTTGAAGACATTATGCTAAGTGAAATTAGCCAGATACAAAAAGATAAACATTGTATGATTCCACTTATATGAAATACTTACTATAGGCAAATTCAGAGAGACAGTGAGTCGAATAAAGGATACCAGCAGCTGGGGGACAGGGGGAATGGGGAGTTATTAAATAATGGTAGAGTTCCAGTTTGGGATGATGAAAAAGTACTAGAGATGAACAGCAGTGGTGTGGTACAACATTGTGAATACATTTAATGCCACAGAATTTTAGACCTAAAAATGGTTAAAAATGGAAAATTTTACGTACATTCTACTACAAGAAAGAAAGGGGAAAAAAAACCCCAGTGTTCTACCATCACATTAATTCAACAAGACCGAATTCCAGATCGAATTTTGCCATTTCAAAGGTGCCCCACGGAAAAAAAAAAAAAAAAAATTAAGCTTAAAATATTTGTGTTCATTCCGTCTCTTCTCATTTCTTTAACTATCTGATCTCATTTATCACTAAGTTCTAGAAACATATCCTTCACATTACTCATGCTCTCTTCTGCCACTATCTTAATATATTGTTTTATTATATTGTTTATATTGTTTATATTATATTGTTTTATTATATTGTCTATAATATGTTGTTTATATTATAGACAATAGGATTTTATAATATCTAAAATCTCTAAACTTAACCAATATAGCATAAGTTTACTTTGTTAAATATTTAAACTAATAGAAGTACATGAAGTTTCAATAAAAACTGGTTTAGGCTGGACGCAGTTGCTCACTCCTGTAAAATCCTAGCACTTTGGGAGGCTGAGGCTGGCAGACTGCCTGAGCTCAGGAGTTTGAGACCAGCCTGGCCAACACAGTGAAACACCATCTCTACTAAAAATACAAAAAATTAGCAGGGCATGGTGACACATGCCTATAATCCCAGCTGCTCAGGAGACCAAGGCACGAGATTGCTTGATCCCGGGAGGCGGAGGCTACAGTGAGCTGAGATTGCACCATGACCACTCCACCCCAGCCTGGGCAACAGAATGAGACTGTCTCAAAAAAAAAAAAAAAAAAAAAAAAAACAGACAAAACTGGTTTAAACTGTTCATCACTATAAAATTAACAATAAATATATTAAGTGCTAAGCCTGATCAAAATGATTGCTTGATTTTGAAAAAAAATCCTTATTTATGTTGTTCATTTATTTTCTACTACTTCATATTAATCTTCCAATGTGATCAATGAACATTTTACACTTACCTTTGTATGGTATTCCATCGCATCCAATTCACCTTGATTGAAAACAACACATCTTTTACGCTTCTAAAGGGTAGATCAATTACAGGGGAAAAGTTATGTTGCCATTAATATTTTGCTTTTTCATTATAACATTATTTATGTCTTATATCTCAGTCTAATAATAATTAATAATAGTAATAATTGCCTACTGAGGTCAAAATCAATGCAAAGGGTATAGACTGAGGGGGTAAGCTTTCCCAAAGTAAATTAAAAACAACATAAACAAAATGGATTGTAAAATGTCACCTCAGCTTTATCTGCTATTAATAAGAAGTAGTTCCAGCCAGGCGCGGGGTCTTACACCTGTAATCCCAGCATTTTGGGAGGCCGAGGCAGGTGGATCACAAGGTCAGGAGACCAAGACCATCCCAGCTAACATGGTGAAACCCCGTCTCTACTAAAAATACAAAAAAAAAAAATTAGCCAGGCATAGTGTTAGGCACCTGTAGTCCCAGCTACTTGGGAGGCTGAGGTAGGAGAATGGTGTGTGAGACTCCGTCTCAAAAAAAAAAAAAAAAAAAAAAGAACCAGTTCCACATGATAAAGCATCAGCGCCCATGAAATACAAGGAAACTATGACACTGTATGAAGTTACTAGTACCATCTATCACTTTATATATGGTATAATTATTCTCAATTTCCTTCATTTCTGAGAAGAGGAACTAGCCAGATGCTATCATCAAAAGAAATTCCAATGCACTTATGACTGATCTGAGGGTTAGGTATGAATCAGATTTATATTAACACTGTTCTATATCTAACAATTCCATAGAAAAGAACACATAAGGCCATGCAATATAGAGTAAGGACTTTGTACTTTTTACTGCTGAAACCCCAGTGTTTACCTTGTGTCAAACTCTTAGCAAGCTAATAAACGTTTGTTGGCTAAATAAATAAATTGACTTAATATTGTAAAATTTGCTTTAGCATATCAGACAGTGTTATCAAGATTACATTTATTACATAGGCTCATCTATTTTTTTCCATGTTATGAGAAATTTACCCAGCCTAAGAGATTAAACATTAAAAATTAATGCCCATACCCTGCAAACTATAAAGTCCTTTACAAAGGCTTGTTATTATCTGAATTACTTATATTACAACATACTATTTTACTAAGACCTCAGACAACACTAAATATTTTCTGTGCATGACACACAGTAGATGACCAACAAATATCTGATGGACGAGAAAAGGGGGCTGGGCCTGGTGGCTCATGCCTATAATCTCAGCACTTTGGGAGGCCGAGGCAGGTGGTTCACCAGAGATCAGGAGTTCAAGACCAGCCTGGCCAACAAGGTGTCTACTAAAAATACAAAAAATTGGCCAGGTATGGTGGTGGACGCATGTAATCCCAGCTACTCGGGAGGCTGAGAGAGGAGAATTGCTTGAACCTGGTAGGCAGAGGTTTCAGTGAACCGAGATCACACCACTGCACTCCAGCCTGGGAGCAAGACTCCGTCTCAAAAAAAAAAAAGGGGATCAAAACATGAACACATAGAGGGGAACAACAGACACTGGGGCCTACTGGAGGGTGAAGGTCAGAGGATGGGAGGAGGGGAAGGATCAGGACAAATAACTAATGGGTACTAGGCTTAATACCTGGGTGATGAAATAATTTATACAACAAACACCCATGACACAAGTTTATCTATATAACAACCCTATACATGTACCTGTGAACTTAAAAGTTAAAAATTAAAATTAAAATTAAAAAAAGAAAAATATGCACAAAAGTCACAACATTAAAAAGTTCTACTTCAGAAAACGTATTTTCCTTATTACTTCCCTTATTCTAATTCTCAACAAACTTTCATATTTAATATCTTTCTTCTCCACCTAATTATAAGATCCATGAAGGAGAGATTATGTTTATCTTGTTTCATCACTCTGCATACAATAGCACATAGAAAGAGCTCAAATGTTTGGTCCGTGAGTAATGAATGTTAATCCTATCACTAAAAAAGAAAATGCACATGTACCCTAGAACATAAAGTATAATAAAAAAAATTTAAAAAAAGAAAATCCTGATTATCATCTATCTAAAATGGACTTTGTAAAATCACCTCTAAACTCCTGAAAGATATAAAAAGTATTAAAGCATAATTAATTTGATCCTGTATGGCATTCTCAAAACTCTACTAAAAGACTGCACCAGTGTGAATATACAAATACATATACTTTACAAACGGGTATATTTACCACAGGAGCTTTCTACTTGTATCACTAGAAACTTTTAAAACAATCACCCTTCTTACAAACTTTTATTACATTATCTCCAAGGGATAGCTCTCTAAAAACCTCCAAAAAACCATTTATGGCTTAGAAATTTTGCAGAAAAACTTTTTTTTTTAAAAGCAAACACAGTTGTGAACATATTCATTAATACAAATGCCTAATCAAGAAAAGGATTTTTTGGGAGTTTTTTGTTTGGTTGGTTGTTTGTTTGTTTTTTCTGTCTGGGTTTATTTTCTTTGCTTAATTTACAGAGAATTCACTTCCCAGCCAACTTTGCTTATTTTTGAAATGCTATGCAATTTGGTCTTCTAAGAATAGTTGAAGCTAGAAAAAAGCTACAAATTATTTTGGATATGCTAAAGCCTTCTTGGGTTTTATTGATTCTTCTTTATACTTAATGAATCACCAGGTATTTAAGACATTTAGATGATAAATCTCAATTATGTTTTCTGCAGAAAAATAAATATTTCTTTAAACTTTCTACCTTCCCAATAATAGAAATGGAGATTTCTTTTTTAACAACATTCATCAGATCTTCCTTTTCATTACTTTGCTGGCATTCTTTGTGAACTGCTGGAGTTATATAAGGTTTGGTGACATCAAACAGTTCAGGTCGAAAAACAAATTTTTGTGTGAACATTTCATAATTTCCTCCATCATCATTCTCTGGCTTAGTGGTAGGGTCAGAAGCAATAAATGCAGCACAGGCTCCAGAAGACGACACAGAATCCATTTGAAGAGACTCAAAGTGAACAGAAGTAGTGAACTCATTTTTACTGCAACAAGGTTCATGATGCTGGTGAAGCTGATAGTTTATCTTGTTGATAAAAGAAAGATGATCCAGTAACCACCCAGCTGACAACTGGTGAACCACAGACATTCCCTTCCTTTAAAAAAAGCCTCTGGGAATTAGCAATTAGAAGTAAAATCCAACTTCCCAGATCAGCTTCTTAAATGTCTTGTATTTCAATAAACATACACTTCATACACACAGATGTGATGTACAAGTACATAAACCTGACATGCACATTGAAGAGAATTTAGCATTCATGATATGTTAATATATACAGAAATTCTAAGGAAAATTGCAATGTTTTAATATAAACTTTCTTTGTAATTTCAGAGTTGTTAATTCAACATTTTCAGCCAAAATTTGGCCAAAGGGGATTAAAACCTGATCTTATGTCTGGAATCTCAATGTGATCCTCCTGTCTTTCTGGGGCCCCCACGACTTCTTGCTTTGGTCCTTGGGTCTAGCCACTATCCTCCAAGTCAGGAAGTCACTGAATCCTTAAAAGGACAAAGTATCCTGTAAAAGCAAAGAACACTATATTAGCTGCATGAATTCACCCGTTTTAATGAGATAAACCTATCTAGAGAGGGGCACAGAATTTCAGAAGGTGCTGTTAGCAGGTAATCCCTCGTTTTTTCAAACTACACTTCTCATAGTAAGTCAGCCCATTCTCCAGTATCAGCTGCCCTGCTTAATCACTACTACCAATGGAGTAATAAGGTAAAAAGAAAAAATTGTTCTAGTCAGAGAAAATGCAATTTTAACAGCACATCAGAAGCACTAAACCCTACCAAAACTGCAAGGTTAAGAGTCTAGATCTGGGCCGGGCGCGGTGGCTCACGCCTGTAATCCCAGCACTTTGGGAGGCCGAGATGGGCGGATCACGAGGTCAGGAGATCGAGACCATCCTGGCTAACCCGGTGAAACCCCATCTCTACTAAAAAAAAAATACAAAAAAATTAGCCGGGCGTAGTGGCGGGCGCCTGTAGTCCCAGCTACTCGGGAGGCTAAGGCAGGAGAATGGCGCGAACCCGGGAGGCGGAGCTTGCAGAGTCTAGATCTGTCATTGGTTCTGAGCAATACCACTTGGATAACTAGGTTTCTCAGAACCAACCTTTGTTCAAAAGATGGATTAGAGTCCTAGATATTGCTTTCTAAATCCAGTGCGGTGGAGAACTTAAGAGGGGACAGAATAATAAACAAATGAGTGATTAATGGCACAATTAATAATCATAGCATTTAGATTCAAATTTCTAACTCCATAAGTGATATTATGATGTACATAGGTTTTCAACCACAGTTCCTGGCTCACAGCCCCTGTAGCGTTACTGAGTGCAGGGATGAAGGCTCAGTTGATCACCACTGACCAATGATGTCATCATTCATGTCTAATCAATGAATCTGGGAGATGTGACACTATCTCAAGATAAAAATAGTATCAGAAACGAATTAGAGGGAAAAAAGGGCCAGCCTGAGAGTGACAGTGACACATGATGGCAGCCCCCACAGGCTCAGAAGTAGGAGTACCTCTCAATTTCCAATTGTTGGAAGAACCTGAAGAAGGTTAGAAAGGGGTGGCCGGGCATGGCGGCTCATGCCTGTAATCCCAGCACTTTGGGAGGCCAGGGCAGGCAAATGGCCTGATGTTGGGAGTTCGAGACCAGCCTGGCCAACATGGTGAAACCCTGTCTCTACTAAAAGTAAAAAAATTAGCTGGGCATGGTGGCATGTGCCTATAATCCCAGCTACTCGGGAGGCTGAGGCACGAGAATCACTTGAACCCGGGATGGAGAGGTTGCAGTGAGCCGAGATTGCACCACTGCACTTCAGCCAGGGCAACAAGAGCAAAACTACGCCTCAAAAAAGAAAGAAAGAAAGAAAGAAAGAAAGAAAGGAGTATGAGATGGCACAGTTAGCTAGAGTCTTGAAGATGATAAAGACATGACCCTTACCAAATGGACAGGGATGATAATTGGGCCTCCAAGAACAATTTACGAAAACTGAATATACAGCCTTAAAATAGAATGTGGACCCAAATACCCAGCAGCACTCCCCTCTGTAAGATGTGTAACAAAAATTAATATGGAATTAGCTGTTCTAAAGGAGTGGTGGACTCAAGAGCCATTTCAGTGCCAGCAAAATAGCAGAATTCACATAGCATCAAAGTTGTCTCAGAAGAGGTTGGACACCTAATGACATCTAAAGAAAACATGAAACTCCCTCAGCAGCCTGAACAGTGTTACAGCAATCAATCAAAAAGAAAAACCACAGTCCCTTTTCCCCACCCCCATTTAATTTAAGCAGTCTTCATTTTCAACAGTAGTAAATTTTCTAGATACATCTTGTAGACCTCAAAGTACTAGAAAGGATGCTCCCATTCAAAAGAAATGTATCTTAAGATACTGTGAATGATACGAACTTTTGTCCATTTAAAATATGTAAGTTGTGCTATAACACAACATCCTGTCAAGCGACAGGATCAAGGAAGTACATTTAAATTGATCCCCATCATAACTGGTGAGGTACATCTAATTCAACTGTGGAAAGACATCACACAATCACCTTGCTGCTCCTTACATGGCCTGGGGTCTCTGCCTTCTCCCCTTACCGCTCTCCCTGCCTCCCACCCCCACCCCCTGCAACAGCCCTCTAGCCTGGGAGGCTCGTTAGAGTAGATGCCAAGATCATAGCCTGTGGGACCACTGCTGAGTGTGTGGGCACTCAGTTTAAGTATTCAATGATGCTCCTTCCAAACCACTGTCCTGTCCCCACCTCTTCCACTCCCACCTTGGCCAAAGCACAGATCATAAGCCCTCCACTCTGCTCCCCTCTGAGATTGGCCTTCCATGAGGAATTCAGGGCTTTCCCCATATCTTCTCTTCCCCACCTTTATCAAGAGATGCTGCTCCCTCCCCGTCTCTTTTTGCACTGTCACCACCCAACACTTCCTTGCTTTGACCAGAAGCCATAAGGTAAGGTTGGAAGCACGTTTATTCACTCTCCACCAGCCTAGGAAATGAATATTGGGTCCTCAGCCCTGCCACCTTCTGCTGTTATCATCAGGCTTTTAACTCAGGTTTTGATATCGTGAAAAGAAGAGTCACCAGGGTTATTTAGACACCCCGGCTCTCAGGGTCCTTGGTAGTTAAACCTGGGAAAAGGCCACATGAAGGCAACTGTAAGCACACATGATCCCTCTGAACTGTTTTCTTTTCCTGCAATTGTGCTTGCTCTTAAAAATTGAAGTTTTAAACAGGGCTCTCATTTGATCATCCTTGCAATCTATTGGAGTCTAGCTTGAAATGTGACAACTGGAACCAAAAGAACCTTGAATTTGGTGCCTACTTTGGTTCTGGTGCTGCTGCTTCTCAAGATCCTCAGCAGGGATTAAGAACTTGGGGTGCACAGCAGGAATATCAGGAAATTGTCAGGCTTGATTTCCTGGCAAATTGCTGCCAGGACCACTAAATGCTGAACTGTGGATGTATACCGAAATACAAGCAATTCTTTCTGTACTAAAGTTTTTTTAAATTTCGTATTTCTGTAAAACCACCTTTTGAAGCAACAACTATCTAGTCTGAAAAGCAAACGATGTTTCCATTAATATTTTCTGGGGAAAACATTAGTGCTAAGGATTTAACAATCTGTAGGTAAAGTTTAAGCTAACAGTATTCCACAAGGAGACTTTCTATTATCGGACTGTTGCCTAATTTTAATATAATTTTTATATTAATATAATCCTTGGTTCCTCCCCATCCCCTTCATAGGCCACAGCTGAGGTCAAATGGTCCTGGAATGGCTAGTGAGAGCTAGAAATTCAGAAGGGAAAATTGAAACTCAGAGCAGAAAGGCAACCTGCCCAAAAATAACAATGCTAGTTAATGGCACACTGCTACCAGACCCAAGTATCCAGACTTCCTGGAGCTGTGAGATCTTTCATTACCACCACTCTCCAGGTACCAGGCAGTGCCTGTTTCTGGGTTCAAACTCACAGCAGCGAGGAAATCCTATTTTAGCAAAGTGATTTACTGTTACCGTTGTTAGTGTACCCCTCTCCTGCGTCTCTGCTTCACATCCACTCTCTCGCCGCCCGCCCCCAACCACTCGGATTCTTCCTAGCCTCTCACAGGTCAGCCACCACTAGAGGACTGTGAGACTCCGGCAAGTGATCAAATACTGACCCCGAATTTCAGTGGCAGCCGTACCAACGCAATCCTTGGAGCCCACCGCCCCCACTCCGCAGCCCCTCTCCCACCTCACCTCTTCCCTTGTCAGAAACGCGGACGCCGCCTTCCCAGACTCTCCTCATGAAAACAGGACCCATCTAAATACTGATCATGAAAAACGCCCCTTTCAGTCCACAGAAAAAAAAGCTTTCTCCTTTACTAAAAGTCCATGGGCGCCGCCATGTTGCTGTACGGAAAAACGTTTCCAGGGCTAGTTGGAGCGCTCAGGCTCGGCGCTCAGGCTGCCCACGGGTCTTCAGACCTAACTTCAGACCTAACTTTAGGGGTCGTGCCCTAAAGACGGGGTCCGACTTCGAAGGGACGGTTACACTGGCCCACAGACACCAGTTCCTGGGTAAGGCGGCTGGGCGCGACCAGCACACAGACTTCCAGCTACCAGGCGGTCGCATGAAAGTTACGCAGCGCGTCGTGCGTAATGACGTCAGCGCCGGCGGAGAATTTCAAATTCGAACGGCCTTGGCGGGCAGAGGAAGGAGCTGGTGTTTTGATGACTGCTGTCCTATCTAGCGGATACGCGCGCGGTTTACAGAAATTTGGTCCCTGGGTCGTGTCAGGAAACTGGATAAAAGGTGACTGATGACATTGGATTAACTTTGTTTCTGCAGAACTGTTCTGGATGAAGAAGGCGCAAATGACTTCAATTTAGAGGTCCTAAGGCAATGTTTTGGTGTTTGTTTGCTGTTGAGAGAAGCCTCGAGCCCAAAACCGTGCGAGGCGCTGGTTTCACGGGGTCCATTAAATTTCTAGTGGCAACGATTTCCCAAGGGAGGAAAGGGGAGGGCCTGGGGGACACTGATGAGGAGTGGAGGCTCGGGAGAGGAAACGGGGAAGGATTGAAGGGGGCGGAAAGAGATGGACAGGAGAGGATCCGTTGGGTGGGTTGCGTCCGAATACTAGTGTAGCTTCTTAGTGGCCGTGTAGGACTGCGTAGAAGTCTTCATCTTAAATCATGAGAGCACATTGTAAGTGGAGATTAAACGTGGACACACAGGTGTGGGTGGAAAAGTTGAATAGATGAACAAGCGCACATCGAAGAAGAAATAGGCGACCAAAACCAAGAAGAGCGTAATCAGTGTAAAAGACTAAGGAGTACCTAGAGAAGTAAAAGGATTGTCACCTTCCTGAAAGCCAGGGCAGGACCTGAGAAGTCTGGGTGCAGAGATGAGACTGGATCAAAAGTTTTGTCAATCATGGGTATCCTAGGAGACAACCTTTTTAGCAGATGTGAAGGTAGTGACCTGTTATTGTGGCTTCTAAATGGAGGCAGCCTATAGACCATTTTATGGACCAGCTGATTTATCCTTGTTGAAGGGGAGATTGATGCCAAAAGGGCAGTAATTGAGAAACAATGGGTTAAGGATAGAGCAGGAGAGATTGACATGAGGAAAACAGAATAGTTCCATTCTCTGAAACAAAAGAAAAGGAAACATTTTGAGATGAATAAGAGAATTTGAGGTAATTTGTCTTCCTATTGAAGTAGGCACAGTCAACAGCAATGATGTGGTCTGGGTAATAGACAGGGCTTTAGCTACCACGGATACCTTTGTGAAGGCAAAAACCGTAACTTATTCATCTTTGCATCTCCTGCATTGCCTAGCACACTCCCTTATACATAGTGGGCAGTTAATAAATGTTTATGTTGAATATTTTTAAATGGCATTAAATAGATGTTGCCTGCAAATGAGAACTTCAGTGCACATTAACAAATACGGATACCCCAGGGGAAAGATGATGATCCTGAAGAAACGATGAAACCTGACTGCCTTTCTGTTTAAGGATCAATAGTTGCTTAATGTACCATCTCTGTCTGGAAAGTTTGTTTTTAATACTGAATTCGTGAATGTAGGTCATCAGCATGAAGCGCAGTTCAGTTTCCACCGGTGGTGCTGGCCGCCTCTCCATGCAGGAGCTAAGATCCCAGGATGTAAATAAACAAGGCCTCTATACCCCTCAAACGTGAGTATTTCCCTTGGGGTTCCAGCTTGCATGCTTTATCATCTTAAGCGAAGTAATCATCAAAATAGTTAATACAAATATGTAATATGAGTGATGTCTTGGTGAATCTTGTCTGTTCCCGGGGTACCTAATTTTAGATCAACGAAATCTAAAAGCGGACATGATACTCTGCTAGGTGTTGTGGGTCTCATTTATTTCTTAAATTCGCAAAGCCAAATGCTTTACCAGGCACCCCCTAAAAAGACTGTTAATTCTTCTTCAGTACTCTCTTATTTTTCTCTTTTATGCTAGAGCTACTTGTTTAAGCAGACTCTGTGCTGTAACTTAGAATTCACTGAGGTATCTCCAATTAGCAAAGGTTCAGTCAAATCAGAGCAAAGTTATTTGCTCTCATAATAAAGTATAACGTAGTAGCAGCCTACAAAACACCACTCCCCCAAACTCATTCCTCAAGATCTGCTGGAAAAAATATCTGAAAGAATTTGCTATCATAAAACTATAGTTTTTCATTATGAGTGATTATCTTCCAGATAAGAGAAGGCGATCTGTAAGCCATTGTAGAGCTGTGTAAATTCTTCTCTAGGACCGAGGTACGAATTACTTGCTGTTTTTAAATTAGTTGGATTTACATAGCATGAGCCTATGCTACTTTTAGAAATCTGAAATATTTATATATTTTTCCTTTTGAATACTGTAAACCAGGAAAATTTTTGTGCTGTTATACATTACTTATGCCAAAAAGACGTTATGCCTTTAATTGTATTAGAAGCTAAAAGGTCACCATTGTCAATGTTTTTTGCCTGCAGTTTAATGTAATAAGTGCAGCTACATTTTGATACAGAGTAGGTTCTAAAAGAAAAAAAAAAATGTAAATGTGGTTAAGATAATGGAAATCATCATGTAGATAGGATTTTTGTTCAGGAGAGAAGCCAAAGACTTGAATCTGCATAACAAGCCTTACCTTCGACCATTTTGTCTTAACTGGACTTCTACCTACACTTTTCTTTGTCTTGGCAAATGAGAGAAATAAGCCGGGAATAGACAATTAAGCAGCACATGTTCTCATAGGTGAAAGCTGAAAAAAGTTTATCTCATAGAAGTAAAAAATAAAATGGATGCTAAAGGCTGGGAAGGGTAAAGAGAAGAGGGAAATAGGGAGAGATCTGTGAAAGGACACAAAATTATAGCTAAATAGGAGGAATAGGTTCTGTTGTTCTATAGCACTGTATAACAACTATAGTTAACAATAACATATTGTATAGTTTTAAATAGCTAGGAGAATATTGACTGTTCCCAACACAAAGAAATGATAAATATTTGAGGTGATGGATATGGTAATTATCCTGATCTGATCTCTGTGCATTATCTGTATCACAGCATCACTATTTACCCCATACATTGGTATAAGTATGTGTCAATGTTTAGTTTTTTCTGTTAATTTAAAATTAGAAAGTAATAATACTAATGATATTTAGGCCTGAAAGTATGTTCTGTGTCTTTGAGCTACAAATTTTCTATCTTGTTCTTTACCTTCAGGGGTGTTTTTTCACCTTGTTTTTACCCTTTGGAAATGCAAATTTAGGGTAGAAAATGTTTAGATAGTTATTAAAAATGAGATGAGTAAAACAGACCATGCTGAGGTTAAAACAAAGACTAAATCTACCAAAGGGTACATATGCCAGAGGGATCTCTGCTGGTCCCCCAACATTACAAGCATTATAACTTATAGTACCGTGTGTAGCCCATCCTGTTTGTGACAGCTTTCCTGACTGCTAAACATTTTTATGATTTTTGAATTATTTTTATAGGTAGTGGGGAAGAGTTGTTGGTTCTAACATATTTCTAAGTTTCTCAAGCTAATTTTTATTTTTATTTTAAAGAGTTGTTTTCTATTTTTCTTTAAAGCAAAGAGAGACCAACCTTTGGAAAGTTGAGTATAAACAAACCAACATCTGAAAGAAAAGTCTCACTATTTGGCAAAAGGTAATTATATTTTTTATTAGCTCTAATAAAGGGATTCTTATAGCCATACATTGTTGCCCTCAGAGAACAAATACATTAGATGACATGGTTCCTTTCGAGAGAAAAGTTATAATCTAGTTTTCCTCTGATTTTAAATGGTTAAAATTTTAGGTTATATCTGCTTTAGACACTATAGCTAACACATTCAGACCACTTTCATTGTTACAAGTAAATAGTTGATCGAAAATTCTATACCTAGCTTTCAGACACAGTGGAGTCATCACATTTTAAAATAAGGAGTGGCCAGGCATGGTGGCACACCTGTAATCCCAGCACTGTGGGAGGCCGAGATGGGAGGATTGCTTGAGTCCAGAAATCCAAGACCAGGCTGGGCAACACGACAAGACTCTGACTCTACATTTTTTTAATTAGCCAGGCAGGCATGTAGACCAGGTGCAGTGGCTCACACCTGTAATCCCAGCACTTTAGGAGGCTGAGATGGGAGGCGGAGATGATCTTGAGTCCAAGAGTTCAAGACCACCCTGGGCAACATTGCAAGACCCTGTCTTTACAAAAAAAAAATTGTTTTTAATTAGCCAGGTGTGGTGGCTCACACCTGTAATCCCAACACTTTGGGAGGCCAAGGTGGGCAGATCACTTGAGTTCAGGAATTCAAGACCCAGCTGGGCAACATGGTGAAACCCTGTCTCTACAAAAAATACAATTATTAGCCAGGGGCAGTGGCACATGCCTGTAATCCCATTTACTTGGGAGGCTGAGGCAAGAGGATCACATAAACCCAGGAGGCGGAGGGTGCAGTGAGCTGAGATCGTACCAGTGAACTCCACCCTGGGTGACAGTGAAACTCTGTCTCAAAAAAAAACTTTTTTTAATTTAAAAATTAGCCAAGCATCATGGTGCACACCTATAATCCTAGCTACTCAAGAGGCTTAGGCAGGTTTGCTTGAGCCCAGAAGGTCGAGGCTCCAGTGAGCCTTGTTAGTGCCACTGCACTCCAGCCTAGGCAACAGAGAAACACCCTGTCTCAAAAAAATCAATGTAAAATGAAAAAACATCATCTAGTCCAACATTTTAGCCTTTTTTTACAGTCTAAAAGGTTAATGAGAACTCCACAGAGCTTTTGTTTTATGGGCTATATCTGTCGAAATTAACTGTAGTAGAAAGTAAAACTGAGAAAAATTTAAAATATATATTTAATTTAAAATAACAATCCATTACATGGTAACATAAATAACATGTTTTCAACTTTTAAAAAACATATTTTCAAAAATATAACAATTTCAGTAAGAAGAGTGACATTGTTATATGTTTTTGCAAATCTCTTATGGCTTAATAGCAGACAGCTAGATTCTAATACTTGCTTCTGCATTTAATCGGTTACAGTATCATACATCATGTTACCAGCCTTTGGAAAACTCCACTGTACACTCATGAGAGACTGAAAATGAA